TAAATTCACCATTATTATCAAGACGAAGTGTCTTAATTGCATAATCTGGAAGTTGTGCTCTTAATCTTATTAATTGATCCAGCAACCTCGCAAAGGCCAAGTTGCGGGTTGATAACAAGCACACATGTGGCCATCTTGTAGATGCATAATATCTTAATGGTCCACATGGAGGGTGTATGAGCCCACATATATCACCTAGCATACGTTCCAAAAATGTGGGAGATTCAACTCCAACTTTAATTACTGATGGTCTGATTATCGGTTTGCCTTGAGAACATGCAACACAAGAGAATTCTTTAGTTTGAAGAATCTTCTAGTTCTTCAATAAATGACCATGTGAATTTTTAATTATTTTGCGCATCATATTATAACCGAGATGACCCAACCGGTCATGCCAAATAATAAAATCATTAGTAAACCCTTTGTTTACTATGTCATGCGATTCGACTAAATTAATACTAGTGTAGTATAATTCGGAGGAAAATACGGGAAGTTTTTCAAGCACATACTTCTTTTTCGCTTTTATTGTAGTAATATAAAGGTATTCAACCTTTCCTTCAGTGCTGGTTTTAATGTGATAGCCATTTTAGCGAATATCTTTAAAACTCAACAAGTTTCTTTGAGGCCTACTATAATATGCATCATTGACAACCAATATAGTTCCTTTAGGTAACACGGTCGCTCTTCCAGAGCCCTCAATTAATTTTGTACTATCAGATATTGTTATGATATTGTCTTCTTTCATAATTAAACAAGAGAATTATCTCTTATCTTTTAATATGGTATGCATCATAGCACTATCCAAAAGACATATTTCTTCTTTATTATTCATACGGCCAACTGAAAACTGGAAAGTTTTTATATTCTTCATAAAGAAAAAGAAAAAAATACATTATAAGTAATATTGAAAAATTTAAGAACAAAAGAAACTAAACTTAGGTAAGTAAATGCTAACAACATTAAATGTTCTATTCAAAATATGAACTTCATTAAAAAATAATTATTCTTATAATTTTTTCCAGTAATAAGTCTTTAGTTATGATGCTCAAAGAAGTCTTCAGCTTCTAAATGAATAATATGTGCAAGACCTTCAAAAATTTCATCATTACATGCAAGATTCGCTTCAACTTTATCATGATTATTCATAGGACCCGCCTCAACATCATTTTGAAAGGTCAAGTAAGTCTCAACTTTATTTTGTTTCTCTTTTATAGAGGCTTGATAAAGTTTGATAAAATATTCAGGCGTATGACAAATTCGTGCCCCATGATTTTTCATACCACATCGGTGGCAAATATTATCTTTGCCTTTTTAAGGATTATTCTGAGAACCCTTATTGTTCTCTTGTTTATAACGACCACCACCATGGCCAAGCCCACGTATATTTGTATTGCCACGATAATTATTTTGTCTTCTTTCACACTTTGGATCTATCACTACCAAATTCGTTTCTGGAACTGGAGCTGATCCACTTGGGCGGGCTTCATATTTTTTCATTAAAAGGGTATTATGTTGTTCAGCCACCAAAAGATATGAAATTATCTCAGAATATTTCTTAATGCCCTTTTCACGGTATTGCTGTTGTAACACCATATTTGAAGCATGAAAAGTGAAAAAAGTATTTTCAACTTGCCCTCATCATTCATAGGTTCCACACATAATTTTAATTGGAAAATTATTTTATATACAACATAATTATATTCACTTATAGTCTTATAATCTTGTAGCCGCAAGTGCATCCACTCACAATGGGCTCTTGGCAATAACGTGGCCTTTAGGTCGTCATATCGTTCATTCAAACTAGTCCATAATTGAAATGAATCTTTTAAGGTTAAAAATTTACTTTTTAACCCTTCTTCGATATGATGGCGAAGGAAAATCATGGCTTTCGCCTTATCCTGACTTAATGCTTCATTTCCTTCTTTAATAGTGTCACCAAGACCTTTAGCGTCAAGATGAATTTCAGTATCAAGTGCCCATGATAGATAATTATTTCTAGAGATGTCAAGCGCCACAAATTCAAGTTTTGACAATTCGACATAGTGAAAGCTATCATAGAAAAAAAGTGAATGAGAATGATAATAATTATTATTAATGAAAAAAATTTCAATGTAGAATATAATCGTGTATTAGTATTTTCTATATATAATTGTTAGAATAAACAAGTATGTGTAGTGTGATGATAAGCTAGTGCTTAATATTACACACAAGAACTTTAGAAATGTAGATATATAACCAGGGAATAAATAATTTGAAGTAATCTCATTAATAGGTATTGGCATATTTGTTCTACTTAGAAAATGTTTCAATAAGTTAAATAGGCATAAAACTAGATGATATCAACTCTGCCAAGTTTTAACATTGAATACTATTCATCTAATAAGTTAAGTCCTTAATTTTAAAGTCCTTAATTAGTTTGTACACTTAGGTCATAAACTAAAGTTGAAGACATGTTTAAACCTTTTGAAAATTTTGCAAGAATTCCTTCTAAATGCATGTTCTGTTAGAATATTTGGATGTGGGCTTAATTAGTTTAATCATTGTAATTCAATTTAATACTTATCTATTTATGTGTAGGTTTAAACTTCTTCATAGTTTAAATAACAATTTAACTGAAGCTTATTGTTTTTTCATATCAAGGCAATTATTATAATCATATCAAACAAGCTATGCATATGGTAATTAAATTGCAGGTTAAAGAAGATCCTAATAGAAATTTTATAAACATAAGAATGTATACATTCAGAAAAGAAATTAACTATCTCTTTTTGGAAGAAGATAAAATTCGGATGAAGCAGATAACCTCAGTTGGTTAGAACCTTGTGCTGATAACGTGTTATAAGATAAAAGATAAATATAATAATATTGAACAAGCAATAGAGACAAGAGACAGAGGGGAGAATGATTCTAATATTTCTTTTCTTAGTGTGTTTTTTATAATGTCAAAAGTTCCCTATTTATAAAGGTACAAATACATTCAAAGTTTATAAGTTAATGTACTTCTTAATTGAGTACATAAATACAAAATATATTAAATGAGCAGATAAATGCATTCATCTCAATCACATGCATTCATCTCATTTATAATAACATGGAGTTTTTTCCCCAAACGCGAGATATTTGGCTGAAAAATTCTTTTCTAGTGGGTAATTTTTGTAAAAATTCCAAAAATATGCAAATTACATAAGTGAAGTGCGATTTACATGCGTCTTGAGTTAACTTAAATTGCCTTTTAAAATCGTGTAGTTTGTGAATAAATCGAAATTGAGAAATGCAACTTATAAATCATATTCAAGAAATGCGTCTCATAAATCACAATTAAAAAATGCGTCTTATAAATCACGATTGAAAATGGGACTTATAATTATAATAAAAAATAAAATTTATCATCACCATTAAAAATACGACTTGTAAATCGTAATTGAAAAAATAGGATTTATAAATCTTAATTGACAATAGGCACAAATGTAGTTGCAACTTATAAATCATAACTTAAATTGTAAATAAATATGACATATAAATTGCAATTCAAAATGCGACTTATAAATTACAACAGATAAATGCGACGTATAAACACAAATATCACAATATATAAATGCGACTTATACATTGCTATATTGCATCACCTAAATGTGACTTAATATTGGACTTATAAATGGTATTTGCAAAAAATGTGACTTGGGTTGCACCAAGGGTTCAACTCATTCTTACTTACCCTGATAATGGATGCGTTAACACACCATATTCAAGGAGAGGTGCCATAGTGTATGTTGTTCGCTGATGATATAGTCCTGATTGATGAGATGCGAGACGTCGTTAATGAGAGGCTGAAGGTTTAGAGACAGACCCTTGAGGCTAAAGGTTTCAAGTTGAATAGGACTAAGACATAATATTTGGAGTGTAAGTTCAGCGATGCGTCGAGATGTCACGCACCGTATGCGTAGTGGGGTGGATGAAATGGGGGTTTGCATCTGGAGTCTTATGTGACAAAAAAGTGCCATTGAAACTCAAAGGCAAGTTCTATGAGCGGTGGCTAGACCAGCCATGTTGTATGGGGCAAAGTGCTGGGCAGCCAATAATTCTCGTACCCAGAAGATGAAAGTGGTAGAGATGAGGATGTTGAGGTGGATGTGCCGGCACACTAGGCAGGATATGGACGATAAGATGCGGGAAGCGGGGGTTAGATGGTTCAGACACGTGCGAATGAGAAGCATAGATGCCCCAGTTAGGAAGTGTGAGCGGTTGGCATTGGCAGGTACGAGGAAAGGTAGAAGACGGCCTAAGAAGTATTGGGGTGAGGTGATCAAACATGACATGATGCGACTTCAGATCTCCAAGGACATGGCTCTGGATAGGAAGGCGTGGAAGTCGAGTATTAGGGTTGTAGGTTAGGAGGGAGTTGAACGTTTTTCTATGTTGTTCTAGGGGCAGGGCTGGCCTGATAATGTTTCGCCGTGGGTTGGTGGTGATTTGTGTAGTTTCCTCACTATTTTTTATGGTATTATTGCTGCCTATTGTTATTGCTTTTAAATATACGTTTTTTGTTTCTTGCGATGCTGATACTGTTTTTCTGGCTTCTATTGCTGTTACTAGCTATTGTCTATTGTCTATTCTTTATTTTCTTATTCTTGAGTCAAGAGTCTTTCCGAAAATAGCGTCTCTAGCTCTCTAGCTAGGGATAAGGTGTGCATTGCATACACTCTAGCGTCCTAAATCCCACTTGTGACATTTTATTGTTGTTCTCCCATATCCCACTTGTGAGATTTTTATTGTCGTTGTCGATGACTTATAAGTCGCTAAGATCATACACTCTAACGTCCTAAATCCCACTTGTGACATTTTATTGTTGTTCTCCCGTATCCCACCTGTGATATTTTTATTGTCGTTGTCGATGACTTATAAGTCGGTAAGATATGACGTATTGGTCACTTGTTCCTAATTCGTAAATGCGACTTAAATATCCCCTTTTACCTCTTTCGTGTTCAGTCTTTGCCCATAATCACCATCTCATCCACACTGCGTTCCAACTTGCAGACCTTAAAAAAAGCAGCAGCAATGGGCCGTTCGCTATTCTCTCATTTCAGTATGGTCACTTATTCTGCTCCTCGCTTCGCCTCTTCCACGTATTCATCTCTCTATCTCCTCTGTTTAACTGTTAATTTTCCCTTTCTCTATTCACTATCTTCAATTTTAGTTCTGTTTTTATCAATATTTAGCAGGTTACGCGGATTAAGTTCAGGTAAATACTTGAGAAGATCACAGCTAATTCGTCAACGTAATTTACAAGCCGGTCGAGATTTCCGGTGCCTTTGCAGTGTAGCTGTCTCTGAACCTGTTAATTCTGAGTCTTCTTCAAGCCCTGTAAAGTAATGCAGATCGCAATTTTTGCTACTATAACTCTTTTTTATCAAAGTCTACTCGATTGTAATGCAACTCAGAAAGATGAAATATTTACTGAACAAGAAAAAAAGAAGAAAATTTCTCTGCATTGTTTGATGATTTCAATTTGACAGCTTGTTAATTAATGGGCTAGTTGATTCATTTTTACGCTCTTGGTTAATGTGTGATTTGTCAAATTAGCCGTGCTTTAATCATTTTTATGACTCTGGTGTCCATGTAATGTAAGCTTGCATGGACCTCATACCATTCCATCGAGTACCTGCTATCTCCCACTGGCACACGTACTAGGTAACTCTACCCATCAAGCCGGCAATGGGGATAAAACACCTAGTATTTTTTTCCCTCCGCTGAGATTTGAGCCTGAGATCTCACCACTAGGCCACACCCTTGGATGCTAGTGCTTTGATCATTTTTCCTGGACTGCATAACTTGTTTATCCATCTTGAGGAACCTGTCCGGAAAGTTTAAGGTTAATTTTGTTACTTTTTGGTGATTTTTGAGTTGACTTGTGTCAGTCATTGTTAGTAAGCTAGTAAATTTACAACAGTCAGATTTCCCCCCTCCATTTACTATTCACAGTAATTCTTGGATACTCTTTGGCGCTTTTTACCAGAGATAATATTAATCCGCAACAATCAGTGATTGGTATGGTTATGCTGCTCCACAATGCTAGTAGCTGGTTTCTTACATGAGTAATACTTACACTTTTTTTGCACTTTTAAATTGTTTTGTATGATTTACATGTCTTATTCTTAACTTTTGGTCTTGTTGCATTGTGTACTCATATTATGTGGTTCCATATATTGGTACTTCCGAACGTAGAAGCTTGTGGCTGTTAAGTTTGTTTTCTCAATATATTTTAAACCTAGTTTAACTCGTGGAAATGAAACATACTAAGAATGAACACCTTCATCAAGAAGTTATGTAGTTGTTGGGCAAGCACCAAGATATGGAGAAATGTATTGCTTGTGGTTGATGGTACCAAGAGGCATTATCTGAACCTCAAGTGAGTGATTTTGAAGTAAACACATTTATGTGTAGCGCTACATGCTTAGCTGGTTATATTTGAAACTTCAGATCGCTATGATAGTATATGATTTTCATGATTAGAATGTTTTACTTTTGTTATTTTTTCCCTTTAAACAGGAAGAGAATAGTCTCTGGTGTTCAGCCTACAGGATTGATACATCTGGGAAATTATCTTGGTGCCATAAAGAACTGGATACGCTTGCAGGTTGGCTTCTTTGTCATTTTTCTTACGGTTTCAGTCGGAAAAGAGTATGTCAAAGAATTTTTAACTTAGCTACAACATAATCTAAGCAATTGAATCTCTCTTTACTTTTATTGTTGGCGTCTTATTTAATGTTGCTTAATATCTATTAATGCTTTGTTTTGCAATCTGAAGCGAAGGTGTAAGTGCTTCCTACTAATGTAGCATGTTGAATGGTGCTTGAGGTTTCCACCTTTAGCTTTTACTCACGAACATTTTGTGTTCACAAAGTTTGTGGATTTGTCTCGGTGTAGTCAAATTCGTTTACCCCATAATGGGAATTTATATAGCATCAATCTAAACATTTGAATTTCTACAACTAGTTTGGTTATCATTTCCACATGAGATCTGTTTCACAATGGAGCCAGTATCAGCCTGGGAAACTCTGTTGAATGAACCTTGTTGAATCCACACTTCTTAGTCATCATTTTTCAACATCTTTTCCGCAATATGTTACTGCGGATTGGCTATCAAGGTCTGACAGTCAATGTGTAGGGCTTCCAACGGACACGCTAGCGCGCTGATCAACTCGTTATAAATCAAATATCTGCTGATCTCTTTGAGTTTTTCTGCATGTTGTGTGGGTGACGATGCCTCAATCAGGTTTTTTGTATGGTGAACTCCAATTGCTAACACAGTTTGATGAGAAAACAGTGGATGTTATAACTGCTATGAGTTCCTGTTTTTGTCTGGATTCTTCCTTCTTATTATTCGGATAGTCAATTAAATGGCATATTTGTAAAGAAATTCTTGAAATCCCTTAATGCTAGTATTCAGTTGATTGGAAATTACAGCGGCTGTACATATAAGACGTGTTAAGAGATTTACGATCATTTTACATATAAAAGAAAACAGATTTGCTACTAATCTTTTTTCTATTTGTATGAGAAATATTATTATATTTTCTTTTACAGAAATTTCAATTTAGATTTGACTTACTCTCACTGACGAGGTTGCTCTTTTCAGGATACATATGAGACATTCTTCTTCATTGTGGACCTTCATGCGGTATAGTTCCAATTTGCCAGACTATTCCCCAGTCATATATTGTTTCTTTGGAATTTTCTCATGCTGTTTTACATTTTGTGGAAGATATATATGAACTTGCATTATCAAGTAATAGTTGTATGACTCACTCCTCTCCTTTATATAAATTTAATCAGTTACTTTATACTCTCTTAGTTTCGCAATATCACTGTGATTATCTGCTTAATTTGCTAACCCTATTTCTGCCCAAGGAAGTTTTAAAAGTAAAGTGCCTAGATCTTTCATCATCGTCCAATTGCTCAATTGGAAGTTAGTTCATCTAGGATTTTGAATGGCAATGCAGATTCTCAGGCTTTATTAACTCAAATCCTAGTAGGGACCTCCCTTTTCCTAGAGAAAGCATATGATAGAATACCACAACAGGCCATTTGGAGGGTGATGGAGAAGAAAGGAATTCATATTAGATATATGAATGTCATAAAGGACATAATGATATATGAAGGAGCTGTCACTAGCATGAAAACAATAGTAGGAGATACAGAAGAGTTTTCCATAACAGTGGGTTTACACCAGGGTTCTTCATTGGGCCCTTACTTATTTACCCTAGTTATGGATGAGTTAACCAACACAATTCAAGATGAGGTCCCATGGTGTATGCTATTTGCTGATGATATTGTGCTAATTGACGAAACTAGCGAGGATGTCAGCCAAAAGCTTGAGCTATGGAGAAGAACCTTAGAGAGTAAGGATTTTAGGATAAGTAGAAGTAAAACTGAGTACATGCACTGCAAGTTTAGTTAGCATGAGAAGAGCGAAGTTGAGGTGAGACTAAATGGGATTGCGGTGCCAAAATGTAAACAATTTAGATATTTAGGGTTGTTGTTTTAGGGGAATGAAATGATAGATGAAGATGTTACTCATAGGATTAAAACTGGATGGTTGAAATGGAGAAGTGTTACCGGGATGTTATGTGATAAAAGGATGCCTACCAAAGTAAAAGTTAAGTTCTATAGAAGAGCTACAAGACCAGCTATGTTATATGATAGTGAATATTGGACTGCTAAGTCCAACATATCCATAAAATGAGTGTTGAAGAAATGTGGATGGTAAGATGGAAGTGCTGTCACACAAGATTAGATTAGATTAAAAATGCAAGCATTCGGCAAAAGGTGCAAGTAGCGTGTATTAAGGATAAAATGAGAGAAGGTCGCTTGAGATGGTTTGGTCATGTCCTACGTCGACCTACAGATGCACCGGTCCATAGGTGTGAAACTATGGTAGGACTAATAAATCTTTCTTCTTCCAATTGAGTAGGACTTGTGACTAGGTGAAAATAAGAGTAAATGGTCTCGTTTGTTTTTTAGTTCTCTGAGAACATTATGCCATGCTGATACCCATTCACTTGCTTATGCACATATGACAAATCTAGCCCCAAAATGCCTCGCTGTAACCCCTACCACTGCGTGAGAGGATAAGGAAACAAATAAAAGCTGGTGAAGGTAATATTGTTTCAGATTTTTCCAGATAACTTTGCCATATGACGCACAACAATTGCCAAGGTCAACAAGGGATACAGCTGCTATTTATTTAGCATGTGGTGTGGATCCTTCTAAGGTCTGCTCTTTATTTTCTCTGACATATATATTACATTGTGGCCTATCCCTTGCATTGTGATTATTGCGACTTTGCTTCCAGGCTTCAGTCTTTGTGCAGTCTCATGTCCGTGCTCATGTAGAGTTGATGTGGCTTTTGAGTTCTGCAACACCTATTGGTTGGCTCAACAGGATGATTCAATTTAAAGAGAAATCACGGAAGGCGGTGCGTCATTGCTGTATGCAGCCCTTTCTCCATTGCCTGTTGATCTTTCAATATCTTAATTTCTGCTTTTTACGATTTAACAATTTATATAGATTTAATTCACCAAATTTGAAGGAATTTTATTTCAACCATATCATCTGTAAACTGTGATTTGATGCTGCATGTGTAAAAAGTGAATATTGAACTACACTTTAGAGGTGCAATAATTCAAAAGTATGAACATAACCAGAGGATGTTTTGGATAAATAATAATAGTAGGTAGATTTGGTATCAAGTTTGAATACACAAACTGGGTAGAACTTCTATGGCTGGCAAAAGATAATTCATTGATTTTTCTTTGACTATATTTACAAGTACCATTGATTTCATTAGGCTCCACATAAATGTATTCATGTGAACATGATGCCTGCTTTATCTGAAGAACTACACTTTTTCTCAACACGAGTTTGCTGCTTGCCTCTTGAACTTACAACCTTTAGTGCCTCATATAATCTTGTTCTTTACACACGTATTTTAGTTACCTGATCTCCTTTCTATTTTATAGATCAGTTTCTTCTATTTTATGCAGTTAGTAGTCAAGACCAGGTTTGATAATTTTTCTGTTTCTATAAACAACATTAAACAAACATCATTTTGATGGTAACATCTCTTATGAATACGGAATAAATGTTAAGATGTCTTTGCGGGGGCATCAGAAGAGCCTATAATTTGATATGAAGATCTCAACTGTATTTGATAGGCCAAATTTTCTTTAAGTTCCATAACCCAGTATGAATACCCCTTAGAGTATGGATACTTGAAGATATTATTAACAAGCATGCTTTGAAATGTTATTAACTAGCATGCTTTTAATGGGTATGCCTTTGGACCCCTTATCTCCAGCAGAAACATGTATGTCTGCTTTGGGATTCTTACTTTTCTCATTTCTGACGTTAAGACTTCTTACAATTGCTGAAATATCTGATCCATATAATTAATGCTTGAAATCGGAACCAAGAAATTGAAATGAACCTTTGGGATTTTTGCACAAATAGCCGGCCGGATTCAATGTTTTTCCCTGGCTGATATACATAGATTACTGATTATACATGGTTATACACATAGTTATACTTGAACTATGCAAATATTATACATCTGCAGACTATTTTTAGTTTAAGCGGTTGGGTAGACGGCTATTTAGGTGAATTCTTCTAAACCTTTTTGCCGGAATGACATAAAAATCCAGACTGTGGTTGCTGGTTTTATCTCCATCTCTTACAGAAACATCATAACTCTTTGCTTTCACACTTAAACCTTTGGCTCTTTCTTATACCGGACTGTTTTTTCAGTGTCTCTACCAGTTGTTTTAATATTTATTTCTCTATGCAGGGGGATGAAAATGTGGGTGTTGCCCTTCTAACCTATCCTGTACTAATGGCTGCTGATATTCTTCTGTACCAGGTGGTTTCCAGCTCCATACTTCACTAACCCTAGTTAATGTCTCGGATTTATTTTTTATGAATTAGAAGCTTGACTTGTTGCATTCAGTATTTTGATTACCATTATATCTTGGGGTATCCTTGGGAAGCTTGCTCAAATGCCACTGCAGTTCCCAGCACAATTTTCCGCCAACTCTAATCTTGAAAGTGTGTGTGAATATGTGTGGATCTGATGTATCAAAGTATCCTTCGGCAGTCTGATTTTGTCCCTGTCGGAGAGGATCAGAAGCAACACCTGGAGTTGACACGAGAGCTGGCTGAGCGTGTTAACTATTTATATGGAGGAAGGAAGTGGAAGAAACTGGGAGGGTAAGTCATAAGGCAGCCGTGTTATGCTCTAAATACATATATTTGGATACTCACCATCTTGTTGTTTGACTTTTTCGTGCCCCTCCTAATTGTTGATTATATTTCAACTTGTCAAAAGAAAATCACTTTATTATTTTTTTGTAACAGGAGAGGCGGTTCAATCTTCAAGGTGGATTCTCACTGAAGCCTGGTTGATACCCTTCACTTCTGTACATGCTATTTGTATAGGTGAAGAATGCTAATCAGTATGCTTTTGTCAATGTAGGTTCCTGAGCCCCTTATTCCACCCGCTGGGGCTCGAATCATGTCCCTTACTGATGGTCTTTCCAAGGTTTGAAATTTCTTAAGTTCGAGCAGCTTTTATTTGTTTCATTTTCTTCTTCTGCAAAAAGTGCTCTTCTTGCAATTGTTGCAGCCTAAAGCCATTGTCGTATTTGTTTCAGTTTCTTTAATAAATTCATGCTTCTTTCCAATATATTTTTCTAATGGAGTTCGTTGGACAGATGTCGAAGTCAGCACCATCTGATCAGTCGAGAATCAATTTGCTAGATTCAAAAGATGTAAGTAAAATTAGTTTTTTTATGGGCATCTGTTTTTTGCGTTTAGAAGCATCTTTTATTATATCACTTTTGGAACGCCACGTTTATGCATTTTAACATCATAAAAAGCTTGAATTGGCTAATCATATTCTGAATGTGTTGTTGTAAGAAGGAAAGAAAAAGACTTTATACACAATTTCTAGACTTTGGAATCTGCAATTCCATGTCTAAGTTCATCATAAATACTTTTTTTATCTCTTTTCCTCTCTGTTATATTTGGCTTACTCCACATATCCATGTCCATTTATTGGCCTTTGATAAAAATATCTGAAAGTTACAATTAGTAAAAGAATGTCAAGACCATGTCCATTTATTGGTTTTGGATAAAAATATCTGAAAGTTACAAATAGTAAAAGAATGTCAAACTCAAGAGCAATAGTGCATTTCAGGGTCTAGTGTGAAGAAAGATGGTCCTTGGATCTAACTCAACCTAAACAACTAGATGTTGGAGTTGAGTTATGTTCAAGGTTCATTTTTCTAAACATGGTATCAAAGTCAAAGTCATCCTTATTCTTGGTTTAACCACTGTCACGCCCAGGCATTATGTTGTCTAGGCTCCAGGTGTCCGGCCTTGGGCATGCGGAGGTACTAGATGCTCACTGTGATGGTAGTGGCTTTATTAAAAGTTGAAGCAATTGGACTAAGAGTTGACATCCACATGTGACCATATTGGGATTATTTCTCTTTAGTTAAGTGTCCAGCTTCATCCCAAATTAAATGTCCAGCTTTATCCCCAATTAACATCTATTTCCTAAAGGGAAATTTAACCACATTTTATGCACGGTAAAAAGTTAAAACAACACTTTCTTTCATCTCACCACACTATATATTCTATTTTGACCTTAAGAAATCAAAATCAAAACAATGATCTCTTTTTTAAGAAAAAACCAATAATCTCATGTCCATTCTTTTAGATTAACAATTACAGTTTAAATTTCTTATTCAATACTTGTATCATGTCAAAATAGGTGTTTTGCTGGAGTAGGATAATTTATCTTATCAAAAGAAAAAGTGTTCTGTTGGAGTAGGGTTCTAGGTGTGGAGTTGTATGCATTTTTTAATAAATCTTTAGTGGTGATGACCTTGTGATATCGAAATAAAGCTTGGCTGGGGTAATTATCATGTGTTGAACATTAAACCTGTTTCATGCTTAATGTGGGATTTTTTGTTCTTTTCATAGGTAATAGCAAATAAGATAAAACGGTGCAAGACTGATTCGTTTCCTGGGTAAGCATCATTCGCTTCTGGTGCGGAGGCTTGTAGAATTTTATTTTATTTTCTCCATTGAGACTTTAATGTCTTACTTTCTTTTTAAAAGAAAAAGCTGCTCTAAAGGCTAGACCTTGACAAGGCACGTTACATACGTCCTTTGGAACAAGTATTTGTCTCAATGACTTTACTTTCTTGTGGTGTGTTATAATTTTTTCTGTTGTTTTATTTGTCAATATACAGCATGGAGTTTGACAATCCGGAAAGACCTGAATGTAACAATCTTCTTTCTATTTATCAGCTAGTTACAGGCAAGACCAAGCAGGTGAATGTCTTCATATCTAATGCTATTAATTTATGTACATTATCCTTTCGTTTCACCAGTATTATGTATGCCTACTCTTTTATGGGTGGCAGGTTGACTTTAGCATATAAATGTTACTACTTTTGCTCTATATGTTTTCTGTGGTTCCTCGCGCTCTTATTACAGTTCCTTGTCCTGTTAACTACAACCCAAAGAATTAGGAAATCAAGCCAATTCCTTGGTCCCATTTTATGTGATGCATATAATTGAGAGAGTCGATACAATTTTTTTAGTATACTAAATTAATTGGATATTAGAATTTTAAATTTTGTATTAGTTATATCCTTCCAAGGAAACCGTGCATAGCGGGAGCTTAGTGCATCTTCTGCCCTTTTTTATTAGTTATATCCTAACTTAAGGACACAATTTTTATATTCGAATGTTTGAAAAACTTTCAACATTATTAAGAACTTAAATTTATTAGACAATTTAAATCAATATCATAAGTTGGTGCTCTCTTTAAGCTGGCTTTTGGACTTTTAAGAATATGCTAAAAATATTGTAAATATATTGTAACATCAATAGGGGAAATTCATTATTACTAAGGATTAGTTAAGATCCATTAGGAAGATTTGTTCATCTGTAATTATGTACTTTTTGTGTTCCTTCCTATTCTATAGCTTAGGGGTGTTCATGGTTCGGTTTTTCCCTAAAAAGAAACCAAACCACGTAAGTCGGTTTTTCAAATATTAGAACCAAACCAAACCAATTAAGTCGGTTTTTTCTTGATTCGGTTTATGTCGGTATTTCGGTTTTTTCGGTTATTTGTTGGTTTTTTCTTAAATATAAGACATACACTATCAAACACATATTTCGGCGACCACATTTTCAACGTAACGCTATCAAATCAATTGCCCTTTGAGAAATCTATTATTTACCAAGCAATATTGGAGAAGTTAATTCTCAATGACTTGATGCCACAGGAAGTTGCAGAAGAATGCAGAGATATGAATTGGGGAACGTTCAAACTCGTGCTTACAGATGCTTTAGTTGATCATCTACACCCTATCCAGGTTTCTTCTTTCGCTTGTGATGCCTCCTGAGCTAATTGTATATTTGAGCGAAAGTTCAATTTTGTATGTCTGCCAAAATCTGACTTGAGGACTTTTCTCTATAGCAAGACAGCGAGGTTACTAATCATTTATTTTCTAATATGATGGTTGTCCCATATCTGTTGCACTCTCTTGCTCTAGTTAGAGACCTCTTTCTGTGCTGTTGGCCTTGTAGGTGAAAGCGTGCATAAAGCTCTAATTTTGCTTTCCTTTCAGACTGGTGTATGCTGTCCACGGTTGAATGTTCAAAAAGGATATAGTTATTCTTAAATGATAAGTCTCAAGTATCCATTTCCTGGAAGGAAAAAGAAATCTGGACTGTGCTTCATGATCCTTGGAAGATAAATTTTATCCTATTGTTAACCATTACTTTATTTAACAAAAGTTATTCTATTTATAAGTATCCACCTATCAGTGGGTAAGGAGCTAAAAAGAGTTAAGTTGTCGCAGCCTCGTGAATTAGGATTCAAGGTGAATAACTGGAACATTTATGGGAAAACTGATCAAGTTGCGGGTGGCTTGTAAAACTTGTTTGACTTCAACTTTTGCTTCATTTTTGACTTGCTTCTATGGTTTAGAAAGTGTAATGGAAGGCCGCTGGTGGCATATTTTTCATAGATTCCAAGCCTTGGAGGCATGCATATGTTTGCATCTATTTTTATGTTTGAATTTTCTGCTATCCTTTTTTTGACAATATACCTTGCTAGTATTTTGCATCTAGGTATTAACTGGTGACAATCTAACCCCATTGTGTTCTAACTCTTCATCTTCCTCTCGAGCATCTTTTTTATTTCAACTCACTTCTCTTTCAAATATAGGGTTATGGATTTATAGTTTCTTCCGTAGCCTTTTTCTTTTAATTTTCTGTGAAATTCTTTTTGTTCGGTTTTCTAGCAGTCTAAATTTCTGTTTAAAATGGAATAAGTTCAAGATCAGAGAATGGCATCTTCTTGTCTCTGATTCCCATAGTACAATCGGAAGTCGAAGATGATTGCAAGCCTAGTGTCTCTCCAATGTTTTATTCCTTCAAAGACACTTCTGCGTAATTCCTTTTGGTTTGTACTTTTCAGGTACGCTATGAGGAAATTGTATCAGACGCAAGTTACTTGGATGGAGTCCTGGCAGAGGGAGCCAGAAAAGCAGCAGATGTAGCAGATGTTACTGTCAATAATGTCTACCAGGCAATGGGATTCTTGAGGAGATGAACAATGTATATTTCCCTGTAGATTCCTGGATTTGCCTGTCAATTTGTGAGGTGCAAAGAAATGTGATATTTTTAAGGCGGGCATGCTACACTATTGATGGGGTTTGAACCCTCCACCTCAAATGTGGTAGGCAGAGAGCTCACTCACCAAGTGAGCTACCCCTTATCTTGTGAATTTGTTGTTACATTTGATTTCTTTCTTTATACATTAGTGCATTTTTTAGACCTTAAATGGAGGATGTACTGCTGATTTTGCCATTTTTGTTTATTCACAATGTATAACTAATTTTTGTACTCCACCTTTCTACTCATTTTACTTGAGAGTTTTGAAAGCAAATTTTATGTTGCAAGTTGCTTTTAGCTTTACACACTTACTATTTGAAGAGAAATAGTTTTTCTCGTAATGTTTTTGGCATTTAGAAATCCGTTAATAACTGCTTGCAGAACTAACGCAATAAGTTAGTGAAGGAAAGTCTTTCCTTTGTTTTCTTGGACTTGGAATATGCAGATGACACTAGTCATTGTTATGAGCCAGCAAGGTCTAAAATCAGCTTATTTTGAGAAGTGTTTTTTTAAAAATACTTTTCAAAAAAGTGCTTTTGGTGATAAACAATTTGTGATTGATTAATTAATTTGAAAAACACTTTTGAGCAGTAATTAATGTTTGACCAAGTTTTTAAAAACTGTTTAAGTGTATTTTTCTCAAAAGTGCTTCTTAGAAAAATACTTTTGGAGAGAAATTACTTTTTTCAGCTACTGCTTCTCCTCAAAAGTATTTTTTTTCCTTCTAAAAGTTTGGCCGAATACTTCAATTTTTGGGAAAAAACACTTTTGGCCAAAAAATAGATTGGCCAAACAGGCTATAATATTTGGTCAAGGTTTTAGTGAAACTGTCTTTGCTGCATATTTCGTTTTTTGTAGGGAAAATAACTCTGTATGACCGCCTAAAATTTTAATAGCCCAAAATTTTGCACGTTACCCGAAATGTCTAGTGGAATAAATTTAATATCAAATCATAACCATTGGCACAACTATTACCGTCTGAACTAAAATCTCTCGTCTCCATATCCGAGAAATTTAAAATAGCCAGATTTTCAAGTGGTCATTTAAAAATAGTCACAGTTTCAAAAGTCATCGAAATTTAGCCATTTTTCATGTAAAGAATAAATCTGAACGAAAATACTGTTCAAAATTCGAAAAATACTCCTGCATAATATACTGAAACTCCAATATATTATACTGAAGCCAGCAAAGTATGTCGGTCCAGCATAATATGGTGAAAGATCATACTCAGGTGCACTGAACTCGAGTATATTATGCTGAATCGGTCTCTGTTACAGCAAAATAGTGGTTATTTTTCAATGACTTAACAAACATTGACTATTTTTGAATGACCGGTCCAAAAACTAGCTAGCCTATTTCGATACTCCTAAAAACATTACTACTATTATTTATTATACACGTTTTCCAACCTAACATTATCTCTTTTTATCCCATTTCTCAAGAATAATTTTTGATCTTCCAAAACCCACTCACCTGTGAAGAATACTCACATTTTTTTTCGTCATTCTTCTTCTTCGTTTTCTTTCTTTGTCTATTTCCCTCTTTTCTTTATCCATTCTCCTTTTTCTGCTTCAGATTTAGATTTCTTTCTTTTTCTTCTTCATTTTATATGGAAAGGCTTCTTTGAGTACATAGAAATGTTGCTAAAAATTCAATTTAAATCTTAAAAGGATTTCTTCCATTAATATTGCGGTAATGATATTAGAGTGGAAGTAGAAGAGGTGAAGCTTTCTAGTCAAGCTTTGTGTACTTCTGATGATGTTTTATTGGTGGTTATGGTAATTTTTTTGAGAATATGAGATTTTATGGTAGATCGATGGATTATTTTTTCATACAGGTAGTTGCCGTTGCTACTTCTCCGTCTTCTTCTACTTTGGGTCATAATGGTGTTTTGTGAGTGAAGACAGTGAGTATCGATGGTGGGTCTGTGTTTAATAGGGTATATATATATATATACAATTATACAATGTATTAAATATTTTATATACACATATGTAGAGTTGTACATATATGATAATTTGTATTATAGTTTTGTATAAAAGTTGTATATTTTTATTATGCTATGTATAAAAGTTGTATATACATTGTATCCTAGATTTGGCAATGCACTTTGTGTATATTGAGTGTATTCCAAACTTGTTTGTATATCCAAAGCGTATATTGAATTTTTTATACATGATTATATAGTGTATATATACTACACAATATGTATATATTGTGTATGTATACTATATAATATTTATATATACTATATACAAAACATATCGTAATTCATACATGATTGATACATATTGTGCAATTGTATTGTTGTATAAAAATTATATATTAACCGTTATATATGTGTAGAAGATGTATATTTACAGTTAAACAATATGTGAAAGTTTTATATACAATATTTTCGAGTTTGACAATGTATTCTTAGTATATTCTGAGCTGTTGTGTATTATTGTTCAACAATGTATAAAAGGTGTATATACACTTTATACTAGTGTATTGTATGACCCGATCAGTCATTTTGAGCTCTAGCGCGTTGTTCGGTAGTTTGAGATCATGAGTAGCTTCACTTCAGGTATAACGACTTGTACGTGTGATCGGAATTGAATTTCAAGAAGTTCGGAGTTGATTTAGAGAAAATTCTCATTCGGAAGTTTTAAGTTGGGAGAATTCACTAAGGTGTGATTTTTGAGTAAACGACCTCAGAATTGGGATTTGAAAGTTCCAACAGGTTTGTATAATGATTTTGGACTTGGCGTACGTCCGGATAGGGTTTTGGATGACTCGAGAGTGTTTCGGCGCCTATTATGGAAAATTGTCATTTTGGAAGGATTTCTTAAATTTGGGTTGGAATGCATTTCAATGTTATCAATGTCCGTTTGGGATTTCGAGTCTGGGAATAACTCTGTATGATGATTTTGGTATTGGGAGCGCGTCAAGAAGTGGATTTGGAGGTCTGTACGTCATTTCAGGGTTATTTGGCAAAAGTTTGAAATTTGAAGGTTTTTGGAAAGTTTAAATGGAAGTGGACTTTTTGATATCAGGGTCGGATTTCGATTCGGAAGTTGGAGTAGGTCCGTAATGTCGAATGTGATTGGCATGCAAAATTTGAGTTCAATCGGACGTGATTGGATAGGTTTTAGCATCGAAAGTAGAAGTTTGAAGTTCTAAAGTTCATTAAGCTTGATTTGGGGTGCGATTCATGGTTTTGACGTGGTTTGATGTGATTTAAGGCCTCGCGGGCAAGTTCTTGTTATTTTTTTTAGACTTGTGTGGGTGTTTGATTTGGAGCCTCGGGGGCTCGGGTGAGTTTCGGATAAGTTTAGGTTGTGTTGCGCTTGTTTTTGATGCTTCGTCGTCATTTCTTCAAGCATAAATGGTACAACATTAAGCAAATGACCTCCAAATTCAGTTTTTATTGAACCATTAGATCCGTATCGTAATTACAGAGCCATAGCAAAAAGAATTATCGAATTTGGACATCGTATGAGAGAGTTATGGCCATTTCCGTGTCGGAAAAAACTGCTAGTTTCTGGTGTGGTCGCAATTGCGAACATCTCTATCGCAATTGCGATGCCCAGTTCGCAATTGCAAACTTTTTATTGCAAATGCGACCTTTTCCAGCCATGTTCTTGTTTGCAATTACGAGGGTTCGCAATTTATCGCAAATGCGACATTTGCAACTTGTTTTTAGCTGTGTAATTCAGGTTTTTGCTTCATTTTATCATATTTTAAACCCTAGGTTCGAGAGTGAGCGATTTTGAGAGAGGATTTTCATATCAAATTATTGGGTAAGTGTGTCTAACCAATTTTCAATTATAATTTGTGATTATACCTTAGATTTAACATCAAAATTCATGAGAATCCATTCGAAAATTTGGGGAAAATTGTAAAATCTTTCAAAATGTAAAATAATAATTTGAAGGATGAATTGATATTGGAATTTGATAATTTTGATATGGTTTAACTTGTATCGGAATGAGTGTTCAGGTTTTATATATTTTATCGGGTTCCGAGGTGCAAGTCCGGGGAGTTGACTTTTGTTGACTTTTTGCAAGTTGTGTAAGGATCATAACTTTGTTAATTGAAATTTTTTTCTCCTGCATTGTTTGATGTATTTAAGTCGTCTTTGGCTAGATTGGGCCGAGCAATGGTGAATTGGTGAAGAGAAAGCTAAATCGAGTATTTAAGTGGCCGAATTGAGGGTTTGAGCATAATCTTGAATCGAAAAGTGGGCTTCGAGGCGATGTAAGTCTCCTTTCTAACCTTGTAAGAGGAAATTAACCCCATAGGTGAAATAAGTCGATATGTGTTCCTATTTGTGGGGGCTACGTACGCACGTGGTGACATGAGTCCATACGTAGCTACACTATACTTAAGTCCGGGTAGTCTAAGACTCAAATCATGCTATACTTGCGATGTATGTAACCTTCTTGTTAATTTGATTACTTAAATCACATTGAACTTGGTAAAGAAATTTTAAAAAGATAAAATTCGTTTTTCTTGACCGTTAACTGAGAATTTGCATTTTCTTGAATAATTTCCCCTTAATAAATTCTTGATTTGGTTGTTTGAATGTGTTTATCTTTTTGTGGAGCGGGTCGAACGCCTCAGCAGATTTAATAGATACATCTATGGTTCGAGCCGTTCGACCCTCGGCAGTGCACAATTTATATTTATATGTTGGATCATGCCGTACGACCTCGACATGATTTGCACATGATTGAATTGATTGCTTTGAAATATTATGATAAATGATATTGCCTCTTTCGCCTGAGATAAATTGTTAAATGATGAGAAATAAATTTGAAAATTTGTTAACTATAAAAGAATTGCTTACTTACTTCATAATATTAAGCTTACAACCGTTCTATACAACCCATGTTTAAATTATATCGTTGGCAATTTTACTTATAGCCCATAGTAAGTATAGGAGTCGACCCCTCGTCACTACTTCTTCGAGGTTAGGCTGGATACTTACTAGGCACACATTATTTTTGTACTTATACTACACTTGTTGTATATTTTATTGTACAAGCATATAAATATATTTAGTGGCCTTGTGGGAACAACGACGTGGTTAATACGGGGACTTAGGTGAGTTGCATTTCATATTACGATCTGCAGCCAGCAGAGTCTCCTTCATAGTATTTATATTTTCTTCCCTGTCCAAATTTGTATTCCGGACGGACGACGTGGTTAATACGGGGACTTAGGTGAGTTGCATTTCATATTACGATCTGCAGCCAGCAGA